AGGTCGGCCCGGACCCTGACTGAGCTGTTCCGCTGCCTCTCACAGGCAGTGGAGGGGAAAAAAAAAAACCAACCAACCCCTGGAGTGATTTCACTCCTTTGCCTGCAGCCAAACACAGTCACTCCCTCACTCCCCACCCCGCAGGGAGTAGGGGAGAGAATCGGAAGGACAAGGGCAAGGAGACTCACAGGTTGACATAAAAGCAATTTACTAATTGAAATAAAATAGTAATGATAACAACAGGAATAACAGAATGTACAATTGAGTGATGCCTAGTGCAGTTGCTCACCACCCGCCGACTGATGCCCAGCCTGTCCCAACCAGGGATCCTGGAGCACAGACAGTCCCCAAACCCAGAAGAGCGAGAGCCCAAGTGATCCCCAAGAGAATCCCCAGCTTTCCCGTCAGCCCTGTGTAATGTACTGAACACAGCATGACATGATCTGGAATATCTCATTGGCACATCCAAATGCCAGTTTGGGGTTTTGCTAATTACTACACTTCTCCCTCCCAGTCCTAATGCAGCTGTGAACCAGCCAAACACGACGGCCTTGGGCTCCAGCAGCAACTGATCACATTAGGACTTTATCAACATTCTTCTCATAACAAATCCCACACTGAACCTAAACCACAGCTCTTCAGGCTGCTGAGAAGAAAATGAACTCTATCCCAGCAAAACCAGGACACCCTCTCAAAAAAAAAGCCCAGGAAAAAAGAAGCAATCCAACTTGTCTCCATTTCCCTGCAGTGAGACCCAGTGTCCAGCCTAGAGGTGAAGGGGCTGACAGTGCCCAGCTCCTTAACGTGGGTCTCTGCAAGGTTGATCTGAGGGGCACAGGGGTCAAAGGAGCCTCTTGCTTTCAGTTTGTGGTGATGTGATTTTTTTTGGTAGGTTTGAGGCTTTTGGCCTCTCTCGTGTAGGAAGAGGAGAGATTTGAGTGAGTTTTTTTTCACACTTGGGACATTCATAATGTTCCTCCCACGGGTGTCCTCTGGTGCCCAGAGGTGGTTAGATGCCTGTGGTGGCCTTTGTCCCTGTGTGGATACACAAAGCTCTGTGTCCTCTGCCCCGCTGCATACTCTCAGAAGAATAAAGGAACTTAACAGCTCTGAGACTTCATGGAATGTAGTGAGTTTGAAGTTTTTCAGGAGGGTGTTGATAGTGAAAAAGACATACCTGTGTGTGGGCAGAGAGTAAACCTTGTCTCAGGTAGCTGGGCTGTATCTACCTCTGTTTTCCTGCTACCATAAACCTGTATTACAGCCTCGTAACTAAGAAAATGTCTTAGAGGAGTTGGTCTGGGAACTCCTTCTGCAGGCTCATCTGGGGACTCATCCAGTCCTGACCCTGCTCAGTGCAGAAGCTTTGGCTAGAGACCCTCCCCAGATCCCTTCCCACCTGAGTGAATTGATGGGGTGCACCTCACCTGGCATTTTTCTGATGTTAATGGTACAAGGTTTTATTTTATTCTCATGATGCTGCTTTTGAGAGATAAAGTGCAGCAAAGATTGTCTGATGTCTGGTGTGTTATGGTTACTGGCCATGAACACCACGTGGATTTCTGTGTGAATTTGGGATGTGGATCATGCCTCATCTGAGTCCACATACGAGAAATGGAGGTTTGGGCTTTGCCCGTAGAAATCATGGTGTCTGCTTCCCAGGGGAGGCATGTCATGCTGCTCTGTTCCCTGTTCACTCTTCAAGATCCTTTTCACTTTCCATTCACTGTCTGTTTCTCTTGTCTATTTATTTGCTTTTTTTGATTTTTATTAAGGAAATGGCACATTTTCTCCACCTCCACGTCGCCAAACCGTCCCTCCTCCAAAACCCAGACGCTCCAAGAAAGGTCTGTGTCACCTACTGCTTCCTCTTTGATTTTTGCAATAGGATTACAGACTGCATTGAATTTTGTACTACTTGCTTGCAGGACCCTCAGATGTTTATCTGTGTACGGCTGCTAGGAAGTGGAAAGAGAGCCCATCCCTGTGCTGGTGTTAAGTTTTTAACAACAGTGATGACTTTTATAGTTTTGGAGCTTGACCTCTGCTTCTTGTTATGTCCCTGAGTCCCTGGTTACTGACAACTATGAGTTGCATGAACTGTTTGCTTCTGTTGTTTGCTGCCTTGGTCTTTGTTCTTTTTATTGTTGTTTGTCAGTTGTGTCATATGGTCACTGTTGAAAGATGAACTCTCACTGATGAGCCATTTTCTTCCCTCAGCAGGGCTGGATAAACAGGAGAAGTACAAGTCTCATCCAGGTGAGAATTGCTTTCTTACTATGAGTTGATGATGTCCGACAGCAATGTGGTTGCATTTTGTGGTCAAGGGCCAATGCAGGACCCTGTTGTGCTGCTTCAGAGCACTGTAAGAAAATGGTCATTCTCACAAAAGAAGAGTTTTAGTTCTTTTTATTTAGTAGTGAGTGCAGTAACCTTTGACTAAACAAGGAGTGCTTGAAGGTGGGGGGCATGCATGGTTGTGCTTTGGAGGAGCAGGGAAATCTCTTACTCATCTGATGCTGTGGTCCTTAAAATCCAAGGTCCCTTGAGATAGTGCTCACTCTGCTTAGGTACACAGACATCTGTTGATGTCCAGAGAGGCCAAACCTGCAAACCCCTTGCTAGCCCATCCAGTGCTGACCTGAAGCAGGGTTTGCATCCGTAAAATGAAGGACTGGACAATGTATGTTTTCTGTAACATCAGAAAACTTTTGTAGTCTCAGAGGAAGTCTGTGAGTAATGGGGCTGAGCAGGCAAGTGAAAGTGCAGCGTGTTCCCTGGATGATGAGGCCAGCGCTTCCCTTTGTGCTGAGCTCTGGGCTGCTGGTCAATGCTGTTCCCCTGGCACTTGGAGGATAAATTTTGTAGCTTAGTAGCAGGTCATTGTGTGGAGGGAGGAGAAATGTCCATTCACAGAATCACAGAATTGCCTAGATTGGAAAAGGTTATCGAGTCCCATCATGAACCCAACACTGACAAGTCCCCGACTAAGCCATGTCCCTCAGCACTATGTCTGCACGACTCTTAAATACCTCAAGACGCTATAAAGAGACTGCTGTCCCCTCTGTGTGTACATATAGTTACATATACACACATATGTGTGTGTGTACAAATAGAAACCATAAAATAAAACATTCCTGTATATAAAGGCAGAACACCAGGATGCTGGAATGGGGAGATATCCTCACTTTTGTGCTTGTGAGGTGATGCAGGAGATCAGAAATCTGCTTTACCAACTTGTTCTGGTTTTAAGCTCGAACAGAGCTGGTTTCTTTTAAGTAGCCGGAATAGTGCAGCATTTTGCTTTCAGGCTGGGATTTGTCAGGAGAGAAACGCTGAGAACATCCCCATGTGGCATTTGTGTCCCTGGCACTGAAGGACTTTGTGTTTGTCCGTCTGCAAGCGCAAGATCTCAGGGGGGAGGAATATTGCCATGGATCAGCTCCATGGGCATTGGGCTCTGCCAAGGGGCTGTTCCATCTCCTGTCCCCCATGGGCAGGAGATCCATGAGGGGCTCTTCCTCTCTGGCTCTCTCTGGCTTTGGCTCGGGCTCTGGCTCTCCCGGGATTGCGGTTTCGGGTCGGGATTGTGGCTCCTGCGGGATCGTGATCTGGGAACGGGCCGGGCTGGGTGGGTGGGTGGTGAGCAATGGCACTGGGTGTCACTCATCTGCATATTTTATTACTGTTATCATTATCATTGTTATTTTAATATCAGTATTATTTTAAGTTTTCTTTTACTTCTGTTATTAAATTGTTCTTATCTCATCCTATGTGTTTCCTTACCCTTGCCCCAATTCTCTCCCCTATCCCTTGGGGGGGAAGTGGGTGAACTGCTGTGTTGGCTGCTAACCAAGGGCCAGCCCAGGGAAACTATCACCCAAGTGTCTCTGGAGCTTCTAAGATCTCTCTCCCATTCAGTTTCCCCCTAGTATTCTTTTTTGCTCAGTCCTCTCCAAGAACAGTGAAGGGGTTGCTGTGATTTGGGATTTTGCGCTAGAACTTCCAGCTCAGGATATTTTGTTTTATTTTTGTCCTGCAGGACAGAAGCATAAAGACTTGGAAGCTGAAATGCTGACTCCTCGAAGCATGGTGGCTATCTTTGACTATAACCCTAAGGAGAGCTCTCCAAATGCAGATGTAGAGGTAACCACCAGCTGCTTGCTCCTTTTATAGGTTTCTTTTTCCCCTCTTTTTTTCTTCTATCCTAAGATGCTTAGCCCTTCGGTCAAAACAGAGACAGGTTATAGCTTGGCAATGTTACTCCTAAAAAGAAGTTGGTTGAAGTCATAAAATGTAGAGTTTGCTGATAAGTTCTCTGATGCATTCTGTGATAACAGTGTTCAGTTATCTGTGAAGAATGTGGAGCAGTATACCCCTAATGATTTTCAGTGTGTGTCTCAGGGAAACCATGCGAGCATCTCATGGCCTCGTAGCATCCTCTAGTGATCAGACAGGACTAAGCAGATGTAGGGCAGGAGGAAGCAGTACCTGCTGTTAGCAACTGATCCAGGGCACGCGCTGGTAAAAGGAAAAACCTGCTTAAGGGTTTGAATGGACTTCTGATGAGCATGTCTTTTGTGTTAAATACTTGTGTATGTCTTTGTTCAAGCAAGATGACTTAACTCCAATTTAACGGACCAGTCTTCTAAGTTCTTGCTTTTCAAGCAGTCCCTACATATACCACATACCCACAAACAGGATTTTGTGGGTAGGTCTGTTTCAGGTGGAGAGATTGCAATGCAGAATCCTTTCTGCAAAAGAACTTTCTAGATTAGAACACGCTCTGTTCTCTGTTCCTCCATAGCACTGTTAGTCTGCTCTGAGCAAACATAAACACAGGATTTGG